CGAATCCAGCTGGTATGAAACGCGAGGTACCATGTATACTTCATTTTTAGTCCATATAACACGCGGACTTTGAGAGGTTCACGGCGCCATCAGCTCGATGAACAGGCTTTGTGTGAAATATCACATAGACTAGAACTGCTTTTAGTGCTCTTGTGGTATGGTCGGTAGCGTTCCCTGGTCCCATGCATTAGGTCCAGGGTTCGAGTCCTGGCTGGTGAGGTCGTTGATTATATGTTCAAAGTCCGCGTGTTATATGGACTAAAAATGAAATATATATATATATATATATATATATATATATATATATATATATATATATATATGGAACTTGTACATAACCTGAGGACTGCCTGTGTGTATATATATATATTTACACACAGGCAGTCCTCAGGTTATGTACAAGTTCCATTTCTACGGACGTTCTTAACACCCTTGGGTTCTTAAGTCGGATGTACGTAACCCAGCAATGTTTTTGATGTAGCCACAGAAAGTCCAGGATGGATTCCAGCTTACTGGTTAGGTTAAACTATTGTTCTCCATAAATAACCTTTGAAAATGCATGAATTTTGACTTCTCTATGATACTATGTGTGTATATTTTAACCCCCTACTTCTTGCCAAAAAAAAAATATCATAAAAACTCGAACTTTACTTAAGTATATACTTTATGTCATGTAAAATATCTTTAGTGTCACTAAAAAACACGGTATAAGTACAGAACACAAGGGCATGTGAGCAGCTGGTGTCTGAAAATTGGCTGGAATTCAAGGCTTCAGTAGCGGAATCTTGCAAATGGTGATACAAGTATGAAAGTTGGCATGAAGATTCAATATGGGTTAATTGTCAAATCTATCTGATTGGACATTAAAAATTCTAAGATGGCGGCCATTTTCCAATGTGGCGATCATTTTCCAAGACGGCGATTATTTTCCAAGATGGCAGCCATTTTCCAAGATGGAGGCCATTTTCCAAAATGACTGCCATTTTCCTAGATGGTGGCCATTTTCCAAGATGGCATAAAAATTATTGTGTTCATCAATTCAGGTGATTTCAGTCTTGATTTCCATGTTTTTAAGTATGTAGAATCTGAATTTTGTATTGAAAACTCTGAAACAGACAGCATTTAAAGGAAACGTGCTTACAAAGAGTGAATGTCAATGTACTACCAGGGCACACTGGTGACAACACTGCTGTGAAACTCAGCATGGGGTTCAGTGTCAGCTAAGTACGAAACTTATAGTAAATATTAATATATATACAAGTACTTAGTGTCGCAAATGTTACCTAATAAGCCCCAAATAATGTTAGGTTGCAGCACCTGAATTGACAGATTGTGCGTGGGAGAGCCAAGCCAAGGATAATGGGGTTAAAGTTATCCAGATGATGTACAGATCGCACGAGACTTAAATGGTACTGGATGAACGGTCGGGCTAGGTGTAGGATAAACAATTGATTGAACCTTGTTGTATCACATACAGGGAAGTACATATGATACAGAGTGGTAAAAGGATAAACTCTCGGCTCTGTACCACAATGACGATAAATATTGGCCCTAAAAGTAATCCTGAAAGGAAAACAAACTGGGCCAAATGCTGTTTATGTCGAGATGATAAGAAGGAAGAACTTAAATCTCCAAAGATTAACCCCACTAGAAGAGAGGAAGATGGCTACAGTAAATTAGCTAAGAATATTCCTCTTTTCAACTCAATCAATGCCCTTCCATTAAGGCCGCAGATGTACTAAGCCAACATAAGTCAGCACTTCGTTCCACAGAAATGAATGTAAAATCAGAAATGCAGGACTATATTTTATTGTCAGAATTTTTTTTATAAACATAGCTTTCACTTTCAGCACTGAAATAATAGCACTAGTCACTAGCCTAGTTAAATATTCTGTAAATAAGTATTAAAATAGCTAGCTCTATGTAGCCATGTATTAATCAGATTAATTAAAAAAAATATGCAGATAAAACCTTGATAATTTCCGCAGAAATTAAAAGATTAATCTACATTAGTGCCTCCACCATAGAAAATTTAGCCAATGAAAAATCAATTTTCGAACATATTGGCCAATCAAAATCGGGGACTCGTTTCTCGACTATTTTCTTAATTTCCCTGCCCTTTATTTTCACCCAAAATTTAAGGAATAATAACAGTCTTACCGGCCAAATAGCCCGAAATATAGACGTCACTCAACCGGCCACATACATACCCCTTTCCTGCCACATGTGGCCAGAAAACTGAGGGTTGCGGACCCCTGCATTAAGGCTTGATATGTAAAGACTAGATGATGGAGATGGTATTGCAGAGACATAGATAAAGAAGGATGCAAAATATCAGGAGAGCCACAAAAAGAGCAACTACCTCTGTATTTGACAGTGATGAAGGTTGGAGAAGTAAGGTATACCATGAAGGCCAAGAGACACAATAACCACAACAGACTGCTTTTTGTGTGACAAGCCAGGACCAGAGACTGCTCTCAGACAATCAATGACAATGGAAGTCATTGAGAGAATCAAAGACACTCAGTGACAAAAAGACTCCTTGCTAAACTTAGTGCAGAAGATGTAGTGGCACAAGAGATGAAATATCAGCCTGCCTACTTAGCTGCACTGTACAATAGAGAAAGAGCTTATCTTAGTGCAAAGGAATATGAGGAAAACGAAAAGAACCTTGAAAGAAAAGATGCATATGCAATGACTTTCTCTGAATTGGTGACATACATGAATGAGACAAAAACTGCATGTGAAGGTTCTAATCGAGCAATTTTTAGACTAACAGACTTAGTCTTACTGTACACTCGCACCAAAAATTATCGGTGCAGGGTGAGATCGACGAGTTCCGAAACAATACGTATACACTGTGATATGTAGGGAAGGTTGGTAAGTGTACCCTCATAACCCCCCCCCCCTCTGCTAGGTGTTGCCATATGGCTGACAATCAGGGCTGCCAACATACGGCTAGAACAACTCGCCTTTCCCAATACCTATCGTCACTGGTCTCAAATTGTTCACACTACAGTATGCACCGATACTTTTTGTTGCGAGTGTACAAGCAAAGACTCGAACAAATTGGTGTCGAACCACCTGAAGTTCATTCTACTAAACTTAAGGACCAATTGGTTTCACATACACATATTCCTCAACTGGAAGCTCACAATCAAGGAAGAGATGTATTGCTAGCTCCAGCCTGGCCGAGGTTGACAAATACAGTGAAGTTGTTCATTTGGCCAAGGCTGCAACAATACGGCAGGATATGCTCAAACACAATTCAAAATTCGTAACCATATCTGATGATAGACGTATTGAAGAGGCAGTTCCTTCATCACTTCTACAATTCACATGTATGATTGAACATGGCGCAGACATTAAATCACAAATTCCGCATGGGGCATCCAAGTCAGAGCTTGCTATCGCACAGCTGTTGCAGTACGACTGTTTTGCTAAGTACAACGAAGGAGCATACAGGTAGTCTCTCAGACACTCTAAAGATCGCGAGACCCCATTTGCTGTGGATATTGCCATGTCTGTGTTTGCAAAGACTTGGTAAAGATTGTTTATTGACATGCTCCATGAGCATGGTATTTGCAATTCCTCTGATAGGGTTCTAGAAATATCTGCCCAACTTGGTGATGCCATTGTTTACCAGTATGTAGAAGTTGGAGTTCTATGCCAACCTGTTTTGAGAAAGCATCTTTTTAGAAAATTTGCAGTAGACAACATTGATCTTGTAGAAATGTGGATTTCATATGGCCAAGGGGCTTATACAAGTGGATTCCTGTTAATGAGTTAGTTGTAGTTATAGGGCCTGAAAAAACACTGGAATCACATTTTTCCATGCATTCAGTGCCTTCCAGGGTAAAAGTAAAAAGAAAGCATGGCAAATATGGAATGAGTTTAATGAGGTCTCCAGTACCTTCACCAAACTCAGTCAGTGTCCTACATCAGTTAGTGAAGAAGACCCCGTGTCTTGGAAAGGTTTGTGGTGGTGATTTATGACACTATGACAGGTCTAGTCTAGCTTTATGTGTCAACTGTGCAAGATTTGATTTATTTGCTCGCAGACAAAGATTATATAAGGCAATTTCACCAGCACTGTCTGCCCTAAAGGAACATGTAAAGCGTGTAGCCTATCAAGGTGGAATGATTTGAGGTTAGGCAACAATGTCCTAACCAGACATTCAAGTCCTGCTAACTGGGGCTGGAAAAAGAAAGAGATGTGTGGTAAATACACTGGACAGACCTTCCACCAATAGCAGCGAGTTGCCAAGAACTGACCAAGTGCTATTGCTAGAAAGACTGTGGGCGGCGATGTAAATGTATCCACTCTGATCTAACTTGTACTGCTCTGAGTGGATGTCAGCAACTTTAAATACGAAAGAATTCTGATAATAATATCTCCCAAGGATATGAGCAAGATATAAACTTGTTTCTCATTGTTTAACTAAGAATCGCTTAAACTTATTTTTATGAAAAGAGGTAAAAATATGCGCAGAACCTTTACTTTATGAATAAAAGCTATATCTGAGGGTTCCAAAACAACCATAATCTGTTCCAGGATGTTTATGTGCACAGATTGCCCAATAATAAGTAATTATATCTATTAAAAAGAAATCGGTTAGGCAAATTTGGTGGCCATCTTGGAATTTTGAATGTCCAATCAAATAGATTTTACAACTAACCCAGATTGAATGTTCATACCAAATTGCATGCTTGTATGATCATATGCATGATTGTACCTGCTATCTGCTCTGCTACAGGGGTACAGAACTAAAGTATTCTATAATGGTGCAAGAAAAGTAAATGATTTTGGCAGTCTTCAGGTAAATTCAACTTTTACACTTAATGGGAATCGTTATGAACTATGAATTTCCCTTTTATTTTCTACTTTAACTAGGGGTCTGGTCCCCCATAGACCCCCTGGACATGCGCCTTTATTGTAGTGCAGTATTTTAATTTAAGGAATGACATATATTAGCTACTTTTTTTTTCTCTCTCTACAGGTTGACACATCCATGATATATCACAAGAATAAGGTAAGCACTCTTAGCCATGCTATATATTATTAAATTGCATGTATATCATGTTCTGTAACTTCTGGGGAGAACTTGTTGATATTCCGGTGGAGAGGAGGGTTCAGGGGAGGGAGTTGGTATGGGCCAACACAATAGTTGACATGGCTGCTGCTGAGCAGCGCCAGGTGCGTCTGACCCGTCTTGACCCGTCGGTGGTCAAGGATGAAGAATGTATGTATGTATGTATGTATGTATTGTCGCGATCCCACTACCCTTTATACTTGGGGAGTGAATCCTACCCCAAGTTATAAACAAATAAAGGTACAAATAGGGAACACGGCAATAATTATCTCCACCAAATACCTACTCAACTAAATGTACTTGAAAAAGTAAGAACAGTTGAAATAAGTGAATCACAAAAGGGAAGATAATTAATTAATTCAATTTATGTTCTAAAGGGAGTAATGACTAGCAAACATGAATTTAAGTGAATAAGTAATTGTATAATAAAATAAGAGTGATGCCGGAAGGGCGAAACTATACTGTAAGGAGTTAGACCAAACAAATATTACTTAACATTACTATATTACACAAGACATACGAAATATATATATATACAACAATCAATACAAAATGATTATCCCTACCAAACAGGAGATACCTTACCACCAGGATCCCTTCCTAGGCCTAACTAAACGTGTCACTAATACCTGATACCCCGAGGGCATTGCAGAGACTTGATAAAGCACTTAGACAAAGGTCAAGGCTAGAGAACGAATACACTCGTCTAACCTATGCCACGGATTTTCGCTACTGGGGAACGTGGGTACGCCGCTGAGAGCGCGTCCCATAATCACGTGATCTAGACATTTGCTGGATATTTTATATAATTAATTAATATTACTCTTGAGTTGACTTAACAGAGTAAGACAATGATGCATATAAATTACATACATAAATATACAATTAACCTAAGTAACTAAGAACAATAATAATATAATAAGTACAATTAAAAAATTAATAGTAGCTGGTGTGAAATGGAAGCGTGAACAGATGCCTCAAGCTATGCGAGATCTCAAGCGCCACAGGCACGTGACAGTATGTATGTATGTATGTATGTATGTATGTATGTTAATTGTTGGCGATTCCCAGGTTCGGTACCTGGACAGAATTTTTTGCGGTAAAAATAAAATAAGATGAGGGTGTGTTTGCCAGGAACTGGGGTGGGGGATATAGTTGACAGGATGGACAATATCTTGTCTTGTAATGGGAACAAACCCAATATCTGTCTCAGTGCAGGAGTCAATGATATTGGCGGTGTAGGAGTGAGAAGCTTCTTGATAAGTTCAAGACAGCTATAGAACGTATTAGGTTGAAGGGAGGGATCCTTATCATATGTGGTGTCCTGCCTAGAAGGAGAATTGGCAATGAATGACTGTCAAGGGCAGTTGGTGTCAACGGCTGTCTTGACGGATATTGCAAGTCAATTTCAGTCCCATTCATTGACAACTGGGACAACTTCTACGTCAGTAGGGACCTTTATGCTAGGGATGGGGTGCATCTGTCTAGGGATGGGGTGGCAACCCTGGCTGGTTCTCTCGAGAGGGCAGTTCAAAAGATGTCGAAGTCTTTTAACTGCTAAGAGAACATATGAGCACGGGGGTGGAGGAGACTGCAGTGGGAGCGGGTAAACAAAGTAAAAGGTTACAGGGAAATAGTGCTAGGAATTATGGCAAAAATAAATTAGGCAGGGAGTTAAAACCTAAACGCAACAAGGAGAGGACTCAGAACACGACTAACGTAAATATCTACTACAAAAACAGTAGAAGTAAGAGAAACAAAGTAGATGAAATCATGGTGTTGGCACGTACCGAAAAAAATCGATATAATATCATTCACCGAAACATGGAAAAACCTAGACCTACGTGAGTTGCCTGTCGAATACCAAATTGCAGGTTACAAATTATTCCATACCGATAGGCAGATTAAGAAAGGAGGCGGAGTAGCAATCTATATCAGGGATAATCTGAAGTGTGAAATAAATAAGGAAATAAAAACTAAACTGAATACAGAAACAATTTGGATAGAATTAATCGATGGTAGGGAAAAATTAATCGCAGGAGTAATATATAGACCTCCTCATCTTGATAGAGTTAATGAGCGACTTATTTGGGATGAAATGCACAGGGCTTCCATACATAGCAAACTCTGTATAATAGGCGACTTTAACTTTAGCCAAATAGATTGGATTGACCTTACTGGTAACTCAGAATTAGAGGATTTTCTTGAAACAATCCAGGACCGTTTCTTAAGCCAACATATAACCGAACCCACTCGGGATAATAATATACTCGATTTAGTTCTGTCGAACAGAGAAAACCTCATTAATAAGGTCGAGGTAGGGAACGAACTTGCTAACAGCGATAACAAAGAAATTAGATTCCAGTTAGAATTTCAGGGCAGCCACAATGAAAATTCCACTAAAGTCCCAGATTTGAGAAGGGCAAACATTGACTGTTTGAAGAGGCAGCTGAGAGAAGGGGTATCATGCTTAGGTGGTGAACTGCATGACCTCACATGAGGTGACCTCTCACAAAGTACCCACAGAGGGCGACCTCACCTTGCCAGGAGACCTGATAACAAGGTCTGAGGTTGAGGAGTTCCACAACAATTTTAATAATGAGTTACTTAATGCACAAAGGCAGAACATACCATACAGAAAACTCAGATCAAACAACAATGACCCTAAATGGATAAATAATTATTTAAAGAATATTATTGAACAAAGGAAGGCTATAGGTAGGAGAATAAATCGTGGTAAAATCTACCTCCATGATTGTTATAAGGTATTGGCCGGGAGGGTTCAGACCGAGATAAGAAAAGCAAAGAGGAATAATGAACTAAAGATCGCAAGGGAGGCGAAGGCAAACCCCAAGGGATTCTATCAAATGTATCAAACTAAAACACAAGAAGATAGTGGACCAATACAGTCCGATACCGGCGAGCTAACTGATAACTACGGAGAAATGGGCAATAAGCTGAATAATGTTTTTCAACAGTTTTCACCACCGAAAATTTAAACATGATAAAGAGGCACCGACTCTATACAGAGCTAGCGAAGGAAATAAATTAAGCGAGATAGTAGTGACTAGTCACGATGTTCGTAAGCAAATAGACAAACTAAAGCTTAATAAGTCACCAGGTCCCGATGAATTATTTGCCCTTGGCAAAGTTGTTTAACATGTCCTTAAAAACGGGTGTAGCTCCAGAATCCTGGAGGATAGCGAATGTAGTACTGATTTTCAAGATGGGAGATAGATCACTATCCTCTAACTACTGACCAATCAGTCTAACATTAATTGTAGGCAAATTACTGGAAACAATCATTTCAAACTCTATTCGAAATCACATGGAGAAGCACAAGTTGATCAATGATTCCCAACATGGCTTCACAAGAGGCGTTCATGTCTAACCAATCAATTAACATTCCTTTCGGCTGTTTTCGAATCAGTGGACGAGGAGCACGACTATGATGTGGTATATTTTGAGTATAGTAAAGCCTTCGACAGAGTCCCCCACGAAAGACTAATAAGAGGAGTGGAGGCTCATGGCATTGGAGGAGATATTCTAAAATGGATTAGTGCGTGGTTACAGGACAGGAAACAGCGAGTGAGCCTTAACGGCACTACATCCGATTGGAGTAATGTCACTAATGGAATAACCCAAGGCTCAGTATTTGGACCATTATTATTTATTTTAAACATAAACGACAAAGATATCGGCGTAGACAGCAACATAATTAATTTTGCTGATGACACTAAAGAAGGACGTGTAATTAAATCTGACAAGGACTCCGCAAAACTACAGGAAGATGTAAAAAAAAAATTCGAATGGTCTGAAAATGGCAGATGAAAATAAATGTGGACAAATGTAAATTACTTAGTTAGGTAGATGTAAACAAAGAAACCAGATATCAGATGAAAAACGATGTTATAGAGAAATTCGAATGTGAGAAAGATTTAGGAGTAATAAGAACATAAGAAAATAAGGACTCTGCAATAGGCTGGTTGGCCTGTGCATGGCAGCTCCTGTCGAAAGTTACTACCACTCTCTATCATCCATGAATCTATTTATCCTCCGTTTAAAACTTTCCGGCGTTCCAGCACTTACTACAAAGTTGCTAAGCTCGTCTACCACCCTACAGTATTTGTGAACCAGTTCCTTCCTATCTCCCTCGTAAACCTAAACTTATCCAACTTAAATCCGTTGCTACGAGTCCTATCGTGCTCGGATATTATAAGAACTTTACCTATATCACCTTTATTGATTCCTTTCACCCATTTAAATACTTCTATCATATCTCCCCGCACTCTTCGTCTTTCTAGGGAATGCAAATTTATTTTCTTTAACCTATCCTGATATGGTAGGTTTCTAAGTCCCGGAATCATTTTCGTCATTCTTCGCTTCACCGACTCCAGTGAATTGATATCCATTCTATAATAAGGGCACCAGAACTGAACCGCATAATCGAGGTGCAGCCTGACTAGCGCAAGATATAGTTGCAATAAGACCTCTGCACTCTTATTACTTACACTTCTAGATATAAAACCTAATACTCTGTTTGCCTTATTTCGAACATTAATGCACTGTTTTCTAGGCCAAAGGTCCGTGCTTAGAAGTACCCCTAAGTCTTTTTCACAAGTCGACTTCTCTAGGTTGATGTTGTTAAGGCTGTTTACATTGACAGTATTTGTTCTTCCAATATTTAGTACGCTGCACTTGCTGGTGTTGAATTTAATTTGCCATTTTTCTGACCACCCCTGCAGTTTATTTGAATCCTCCTGTAGTGCATTTGCATCCTGCCCAGAATTAATCTGCCGCCCTATTTTGGTGTCATCCGCAAACTTGCTTATGTCACTGCTGATCCCAGTATCTAGATCGTTTATGTAGATTATGAACAAGAGTGGGCCTAGTATTGACCCCTGTGGAACCCCACTGGTTACACAGCCCACTCAAATTTA